TTATTCAAAAGGTGGCACGTAGCTTGATTTTAAAAGGCTGCATATTTTTAGTTTAGGAATAATTATGTTCGATTCCTTTTCACTATAAGAAAACTGGATCAAATAGAATACAATTCAGGACTTGAACAAATAAAAAAAATTAAAATAAAACATATTAATTGGAGAAAAAACTAAAATAGAAAAAAAGTAACTATACCACAGTGCATTAATACACACATATGAACGTGTGTTTGTAGGAGAGACAGACTTTTAATGTATATCATACAAAAAAATCACAATAATCTAAAATGATGGTTGAGAAGAAGTTTACAATATTTGACACCATTAGGATTTTATATGTGGCAATGATATGGAAAACAAAATGTTTATTTGAATATCATTATCAGGGGAGATGATCTTATAAGTTAATCTATTATGCTCACTCTAAAAGAATGTAAGGGTCCTAATATGGATGAAAAGAGTTTTCCCTTTCAAGAAAATTTTTCTCCCTCTACCTCATAATTTTTTTCACGGATTGACTTGAATCAGAGTTTAAAAAAAAGTGAAAGTAAATGGAAATATAAGATTGTGATCGAGTAAGAAAATGTAAATAAAAGTTAGGCACACAAAACTTTCTAAAAGGTGAAATGGAAAGAATTTTACGGGACATCCCAAAAAGATAAGTGAGACGGATTTTATGCGGCAGAGAAAGTATATTACCTCTATTCCAGTGGACTTTGCCAACTTCAAACTATGTGATAAATAATTAAAGTAAAAATTATGAGATTGGAGTTTGTCACAAGAGAGAGAAACAAGTTGATTCATTGTTTAAAATGGAAGTTATAAAGTTTTGTGGAACAACACAAAAAAGAAAAGTTGGCATAGTTGAGTGAGACGGAGGGGGTATAATTTAGGAGAATATTTCAAATTTAGGTGTAAACATGTTTTGTAATCCCAAAACAGGATTACGATACTCCCCTCTGTTCCCTCTATAATTGTCCCATTTTTTCATTTTTGGATGTCCTTTTATTATTGTCTCATACCATATTTGGTAACATTTGTGTGACTCTAATTCATTTTTAATTTATTTACACTTTATCAACTCATTACCAACCACATAATTCTATTTTTCTTAAAAACCACACCACTCCTTTCCGTACCAATATTAGGGGGACGGAGGGGGTATTAGTTTTCCCGAAATAAGAGTATTTACTGTCATTTTCGACTTTTCACTGTCAAAATAGTTACAATACAAGGCATTGACATGACAATATTTATTGTCATTAATGATAGTATTTTTTAGTCATTACAATAACAACTCTTGTTTCGGAAAGAAAGACATGTAAAGTAGTCCTATTTTGAAATTGAAAACATGTTTACTTCTATTTAGACAATTTCCCTATATTTTAGTCATCGATTTACAAATTTTGTATTAATTATCAATATTATTTCTTATAATCTTTATTTTTACAAAGTATAAAAATGTATGACAGAGAAAGTATATTACCTCTATCCCGGTGAACTTTGCCAACTTCAAAATATGTGAGTAATAATTAAAGTAAAAATTATGAGATTGGGGTTTGTCACAGGAGAGAGAAACAAGTTGATTCATTGTTTAAAATGGAAGTTATAAAGTTTTTTGAACAAACAAAAAAAGAAAAGTTGACAAAGTTGAATGAAACGGAGGGGGTATAATTTAGGAGAAAATTCCCAATATAAGTGTAAACATGTTTTGAAATTCCAAAATATGAATACTATATTTGTTTTCCAGAAATAAATATAGTAATGATAGTATTTTTCAATCATTACAATAACAACTCCTCTTTGGGAAAGAAAAACATGTAAAGTAGTCCTATTTTGAAATTTGAAAACATGTTTACTCCATTTAAGACAATCTCCCTATAATTTAGTCATCGATTTACAATTATAGTATTAATTATCAATATTATTTCTTATAATCTTTATTTTTATAAAGGGAAATTTCTCTAAATAGGAGTAAAAATGTTTATCAATTTCAAAATAGGAATGTCATGTTTTTATTTCTCAAAAGAAATAATCACTGCCATATTTTGGCTGTACGCGATAGTATTTTTCAAATGTGACAATAATTACTCCTATTTATGGAATAAAAAATGATAGTCCTATCTTGGAATATATAAAACGGTTTTAGTCTTATTCATGGAACTTTCCCTTTTATAAAAGAACAAGATGAAATCCAAAATTGTAATGAGGTTTTCTCATAAAAGACCCATTAGTATTAAAATAAACGATAAGATATAACAATATTTCTATGTGACAATGAAATAAATTAAATATATAACTTGATGGTACAATTGTAGTGTGTGATTTAAGCAACAAACACGTCTTTATGAATACTACTTTAACTTTTTAAATAAAAAAAACATTATTTTCTGTTGATAATTTACATTTATACAAATTAAGATTCCAACACTAAAAAGTAAATACCACAACCCGTAGCAATGGAAGTAACATTTTCAATATAAAATGAACGCAGTACCTATGCGATGCACTACGTATATCTTGACATGAATAATAACTTTTTTAAAATTATATTTATAATGGTATGTAATATGTAATTTTGCCAAATAAAAAAGGCGATAAAGTTTATGTGTTGTAACTTTTATTAATTATATATATAGTAGTAGCTGTAAACAAAAGTAAATTTGGATCGCATTAAAAACTGCAAGTAACTTTAAAACAAAAGATAAGATGTATGTGACAATAACTCTATGTGACAATGAATTAACTTGATAATTTAATTAGCATGTCTCATAAAACTTTTTTTTATGTACTTTTTTATAGACATTCTCTATGTATTTTAAAGTTTGTTACACTTTCCTTTTTATGTTGTATTTAAAAGTTTGCTACACTTTCCTTTTGAGTAAGTTTTCCCTTAAAAATACTGAAATTCCCTTACTTTTTTATACCGGTTATGTTCTCTTTGATGCATTAACACGCTCTCTTTTACTTTTTCTACATTATTCATTACTCTTACTACTTCCCTCTTTAAATAATGTCCCAAAATTTTCATTGCTTCAAACCGCTAATCACTACATGTGCTAGCATATTGTCGGTCACCGGTTTGTACGTCCTATGATGTTATCGTTTAACATAACAAATACTATATACTCCCTCCGTCCCTTAAAATTTTGCCATCTTTCCTTTTTGGGACGTCCCAAAAAACTTTGTTATTTTCCCTTTTAATCAATTATTTTGTGGTTTCTGTTATTTCTTTCTCCTCTGCACAAACCTCAACCACACAGTTTTTACTTTATTATTTTCCGTGTCGGTCAACTTTGGCAAAGTTTTAAGTGATGGAGGTAGTATGTCGGAAAATATAGCAAAAAAAGTCTCATGAGGCCCACTAATTTTTGTACTATCAAGTTATTTCATTGTCACATTAAATTATTGGTTATACTTTATCGTTTATTTTAATTTTACTTGAATTTTTACGATCCATTTTTGCATTTTATTACAACTACTACTACATACTTCGTATATAATTACTACGTCCAAAAGGTTGAATCCCCAACCCCAAGGGCCCCCCACACCGACCCGACAGGATGATGGGGGAGTAAATCACGGTGACTCAGTCGGCAAAGCGGCAGTAGGCCTTTACCCGTGCGCACCAGAGGGCCAGCCTTATTTCAGGTTCTGAAAACCCCCTTTTGGCCGCTGCGGGATTCGAACCTTGGTCTACGTCCAACTTTTCGTATATAATTACTAAAAGTAACATCACATAAACTTTATCATCTTTTTTATATTTGACAAAGTTACACATTATCTACCATCATAAAACATAATTTTAATTAACTCATTATTCAATTCTAGATATATCATGTGCATCGCACGGGTACTTCGTCTAGTTAAGAAAATAAATTTATTGAGGGGTAAATTTTACTGTTTGACACTGTTTTGCATTATTTTTTATTGTTTTGACACGGATTTGCACTGTTTTGGTGTAGATTTGTTTGTCAAATAAGAAAGTGTGAACTTGATTGGGACATCCAAAAAAGTTAAAAAGGAAAGTGTAAACTACGATAAGAACCGGAGGGAGCATATCATTATCCAATGTACAAATATCAGTAGCACTTAGCCTTATTTGGGGCTATGCTTTGTGACATGATTTTTTATTCCAAGATCTCAAATAGTGTCGTACTCCCTCCAGTTCCAAAAGATGTTAACACTTTGACTTCACAGTTTTTAAGGAAATAAACATTGTTTGGTACTGTTTGACACTGTTTTGTGTAGATTTATTTGCCAAATAAGGCAAATAAGGAAGTGTAAAGATTTTTCTGGTACTGCTAAAAATGGAAAGGGTAAAGATCTTTCAGAACCGGAGGGAGTATGTTGTTATTTTACTCCAAAACTAGTTTTGGACACCAAAGATCTTACGAATTTCCCTCTTTCATTCAATATACTATCTAAATCTACACCACATTTCTCAACAATATGCACTTGAAGTTATTCTTCGAACTTCCTTGTTAACATCTTATCTTCCTTTGATAAAAAAATTATCATTTTATGATACTACCTCTGTTCTCATTTTAACTTACAAATGAGTTTGGCACAAAGTTTAAGATAGTAGATATTGTGTGGTGGAGAGTTGTGCAGAGGAGAGAGAAATGTGTAAGAAATGTTGTGAACCACAAATTTTTTATCAAAAAGGGAAAGTGTAATTTTTAATTGGAACGAACGAAAAAGGAAAATTGGAAGTTTATTTAGGAACGGAGGGAGTAAATGATGTCGCAACGGATATAAGGATTTTAGAGCTTGTTGTAATCTATGGCACGTAGTGATTCAAAGACCATACAAGCTGCCCAAAGTTGTTAATTGTCTGATTCAACTATTACGAGTCAAATCAAATAACTCATGTAGAGTCCGTTTGATAACTCTGATTTTGACATGCTTAGAGTGAAGAGATTGTGTTTAGAGTGATTCGGAAAGTTGATATTGTTCACATCATTGCGCTTATGTAATTGGGATATAACAACCGTAGATAGTATAAGATGGAGTATATAAACTATGTGAAGACAAAGATTAACATCCAAATGAGATTAGCCGAGTATTCATTACATCTTGCTAAATGAACAAAATAATACTTAAACGCCCATGGTTAAGAGGCACGATCTTCACTCCACAAGAATTTCAACGAAATAACAAGAACCAAAACATAAAAATTGGAATTAATACAATGATTGAATGATCATTAAGTGGCGAAATGGGGGTTTAGATATTATGACAAAGAATGGACATAGCTTGATCTATTCAGGATCCTGAATTAGTAATTTAGTATGGCCGTATGGGAAAATATTTCGTACTATACTCTCCAAAATATCTGGACTTGTTTGAGTAATTTGTTCCTTATTAGCTTTTGTAATTTATGTTACACAATATTTCTAATGCGTTCTTACACATTTCTATATCACACAATCCACACTTTCTTAATTTTCATGTAAAATTACTTTGGAAGATAATTTAGAGACGGAGGGAGTATCAGCTTGTGTATGTATGTAATGAAAAAAATTGTGGAAAAAATTATATTTAAATTATACGTAGTATTGTATTAATAAAGTAAGGAAAAAGTATATATGAAAAAAGAGATTAAATAGTCTCTCATAAGCAATTTCAGCTAGCTCTGTCAGAGAAGTAAAATCAATATTACTATTTTATTTATTATACAGCCTATCACACAAAATTAAAAGTTATATATTTAGAAAAAGTCAATTGATATGTAAAAAATGGGGCTATAAACAAGCTAAATTTGAAAATAATCGTCATTTTGTAAATTTGTAAAAGTTATATATTTAGAAAATGTTTATAAGTAAATCATCGTCATTTTACGTCCGTAGCGACAAAATAAATTCTCTAAATTGAAGTAAAAGTAACCTAAAAATCTAATATCTGAGTGTGACGTTTTTCGGTTAATTGAAATAATTACTACCTAATTAAGAAAATATTATTAGTTATAACATTATACATTAGTACTATCATATTAATACTCCATATATGATTGTATCAAAACATTAGTTTGATGGAAAAATTAAATTCAAGTTCCCAACTGTCTCACTTTATACTCGATTAATATTTTAGGAGGTCACACCATTTACCTCAAGTACGGAGTATATTGATTAACAAATAAATTAAATCTAAACCTTATCGGAAAACCAGTCGTCATCGGCCCGGGGAAAGGTCGATCTCGATCAAGTTATCTTCTTCCGGCTCACTAGTAATCCTCTTCCCGTCCAACGAAATCTCAATCAACTCGTCTTTATCAACCTCTTCCCACCAGAAACACATCGTCTCCGGCGAATCCGGCTCTCCGACAACAGGAGCTCCCCCTCCTGACGAACTATCCGAATCTGAATCCGGATAATACATCGACAGAGAAGCATACCTCTGAATCGCCGCCACTCTCTTCTCATCCAGAGCCTCTTCTTCATCTTCTTCTCCGCCCCGTTCTTCACGAATAACCTCCAGAGGGGCCCTCACATCCCACTCAATAAAATCTTCCGCAGATAATGGGCCAGAATTCGGGTCCGGGTTCGAATTCAAGTCCAAGCGCTTGCCCGGAATGTTCCTGCCATCCACACTCGATGATTGTAATAACAGAGTCGTATTCTTCGCTGAAAGATGGCTGGTTTCTGAGTCGACTCGGGAAATCCTCTGAGCCACGCCGAGGTGGAGGAGAGAGTAGAGCAGAACGGAGGTGGAAATGAGGAGAGGGGAGAAAAGGGGATCCCGGAGAAGAGAGGGAAAGTATAGAAGGATGAGAGTGAAGAGGGTGACAATGGCGGAGAAGAGAGGGCTTGAAGATACTGAAGAAATCGTCTCCCGGAAGAAAGCCATTGTCACGAATGGGTGTTCACTTTGCGTAGGTTTGCTTTATCCTCCATCAAAGATTGGAATCAAAACTGCCGGGAGATAAACATTACATATTCTTCTTATTTATATACGTATTGGAATCAAAACTGAGGGTGGATTTTGCCAAATTCAAAATAGGTTAAAAGTAAAAAAAAAAGTAAAATTGTGTAGTTGAGGTTTTTACAGAGAAAGAATGGTGTTGAACTACAAATAAGTTGCCTTAATGAAAAATTGATAAAAAATTTTGGGATAACTAAATGAGGAATGTTGGCAAAGTCCATCCATAGTTGGGAAAGTTTTTTGGGAACGGAACGTAGTATGTCTGATAGTCCGTCCGTATTCCAGCCTTCCGGGATTTCCAGGTTTGGCACATAGAGCCACGAATAGTATAAAAAATACTACGTATGATGAAAGATGAAAATATGAAAGAGGATGTAAAAATATGAAAAAAAAAATATGGAAAGGTAGAAAAATCTAATCTTTGTTCAAGTTTGAAGCTCATTAAGCTCGGGCCATTAAATTAGATTCGAAATCAAGCTCGAACTTAAGTGGTTTGAAAAACGTTCGGTTCGTTAACAACACCTAAGTTTAACCTTGCATGTGTAGTAGAGATTTTTTTTATTACTTAGCCCACCCAACCTATCATTTCTAGATCCGCCCCTGGGTGCACAGTTGCCGTTGAAGATGGTGATTGGTGTTTGGCGGCGTGTTTTCAGTGACGGAAGTGAAGGTAATACACACATGTTGACTAATTCAGTTTGACAGTCCGTTTAGGATGGTAGGCATTGTTGCACTTCAGTTTAATGCCAGCTAGTTTAAACAACTCTAACCAGAAGGAAGTAACAAAGAAACTTTCTCTGTCAGACACCATAGAATTGGGTTCACAGAATGTGATGAACAAGGAGCATGTTGAGGAGATGCAGAATTGTTGATCCGTCCCCTCCTGACCGCCACCATGGAGGGGTCATGTGGCTAGGGTTTGGAAGACGCCGCTTCAAGTTTGGATTATGTCACACACGCCTTATTGTTCTGTATTTCTTCCCAGCTTTATTTATGTTTCTTTACACTTTCTACTTTTTATTTGTTTGTCTTAGTTGCTTTTTTGAGGTGCATATATGACAGTTATTTGGCACGAAGCTCTCGTATGTTCAACAACAAAAATCGCTATGTTTTGGATGAACTTTTCTATATCTGATCAAGGACTGGGGGAATTTTCATCTATTATGAGTTTGTTGATGCTGTAAAGCATTTAAGGGTTAAGAAAAACATTATGTTATTCCTTTGTTTGTCAGCAATTCGCGCTGCTTCTTTGGAGGTGGACATCTCAACATCTAATTGCAGGGCTTTTCTTATGTCTACCTTGAGTCTGTTAGAAGATGGTTGAAATTTGAATTATCACTACAAAACAACATGGGATTGACATAGATTTGCCAAAATTCATAGAGGATTTGGTAGGGATACGCTAAATCCGTGCCAAAAATAGTTTGACACGAGGTATGTGGCACGAAATCATCGATGTTGGGCCGCGGGTATGTATATAGTCTGTTTGCCTGCTGGTGCAATCGACTGTGACGCTTTTCCTGTTCTAAAGGGGGAAAGGGCGTGCTACATTATTAGCAATTGCTTTGGTGTGTGGTAAGCACAACGATCCACAAGTGGTATTGGAGCCAAAAGTCACTAGTTCGATCCCCGACAACAACATGCTGCTCAGTTGAAGGCTAGCAGGTGCCGGGGGTGGTCGCGGGTATGCGTCGCGGTGCCATCAATCTACCTGCCAGCCAGTGCAATCGACCGTGGTCCTTTGCATGTTCTAAAGAGGAAGAGCGTGCTACACTATTATCAATTGCTTTTGGTGTAGTGGTAGCGCAACGATTCACAATCGGTAGAATCTGTCAAATTTGTTCGAATTCCAAAATTTTTTTTGTAATGTTATTGACTGATTTTAACTGCTAAGCATTGGTTAAATTAGTATAGTTTGACATTGTTTTTTAAATATACTTTTATGCTAATCTTTGGTTTTTATTGACAAAGACATGTATTTTACATTTTTCACAATCATACTTTTACTGAATTATTTAGTAATACGTTAAATATTGATTTTATCATTAAAAATCACATTTAAACCCGAAAAGTTTTAATATTAAAAATCAAATTAATGAACGATAAAATTTGGATCATAAACTTCATTTTAGGCTAAACTGAAATTGACCCTGTCAGGACAACTTGATATGAACACCACTCATACGATAGATTTGTCAATTTGATAATAACATGAATCAATAAAGTTAATAATCCCTTTGTTAAGCATAAATTTGCACTCTGAAGAATGGCCGGGATATTGTGTATAAGGTAAGTTTGACACTCCATCGCTGAGGGCCCCCCAATCCCGATCGGACGGTACGTTGAGAGGATGTAAATTGGACTATAATCTCAATCTGACACATAGAGAGTGTGGTTCTGTCCCCGATACTTGCAGAGGCCCTATGCATATTTTAGTATAGTAATCTCTCATCACAGTTGCCGGGATTCGAACTCGAGATCTAACCCTTGTGTCACTCCATTCCTACCAATTGAGCTATGCCCACCGGTATCTCTAGGAGCTCAGAAGTATGTGGTCATGAAAGGAGTTTGTTTAGCATTGTTAGCAGGTTGTGGCAGACAAAGGATCTCATCATGTAATTCCGCCTGCCATTATTGACATGGTTTGCCTAAACTGAAAGTTATGTGTGTCGTACAATATTATTGATTAATGCAAAAAAGGTCGGATTCAAAAGCAAATGGAAAACACAAGCTTTTTAGTTATGGCCGGTTGGCATTAGTAGTAGGGAAGCTTATCACGTGAGTTAGGCTGCCTGCCACCCATGGGTGAAAACTCCAAATTTGAGGTATTCACCCCAAATAAGCTCAACCAAGGCAAAAAATTATATAAGAGGAAGCCATAGGGAGTATGGGAAACCTTGGGGAGGGAAAGGTAGCTCCTTCATCGACTCTCTTAAAAGCAAAAGATGTAGCCACCTAAAGGGAAGCCAGCAAGTGAGACCAAGAGAAAGTAAATTAACTTTTTATTTAAACTATTATAACTTTAGTATTTATACTCCAAATTTTATAAAAAATATACCAAAATTCATAACTTTTTATAACCTTTCATTTGATATCAATATAGCATATATAAATTTCAATACAAAAAATTCAACTATTGGAGAGTTCTTTATCTAAAACTTTTTTGAAATAGATTCAAGTATTAAAATTAAGATCTCATTGTTCAATATTTTTTTACATCTATCAACTATTATTTATTCAAAATAAGTCTGAAGTAATAAAAAAACTAAACTCCAAATTTATTTATTTTTATCAGAATTTTTGACCTTTTAATGTTAAACAAGTTCATAGTATATGAAATGAAAACTTAATAATATTAAAATATAGAAAACAATTAATAATTTTAAATTTATTTCAAATTGAACTCAAGTATGCATTTTTAATACTTACAAAAAAATAAATACATTTTTTTATTTTTTTACATCGGAATGTTTGAGTTTTTAAACAATAATTATTGTTCAAAATAAAATTAACACATAAATGATGTGTAATAAAATAACTAAGGATTTATGTTTTTAATTAAAAGAAATGTGCTGGGAGTGAATATGTTGACGGTGCTGGGTTGCAGAGAAAAACTGAATTGACTGAGTGAATACGTATAAACTGGAGCGGAATTAGATTTATTGACGGACTGGGTTGCGGTTAGCCTTAGGCCCTTCTCTATCCAATCTGACATTGGCAGATTATATTATTACGAAGTATCATAATGTTTTTATTTAATTTGCAGTAATTTTGTGGTCTTGAATTATCTAATTAGTCTGATCTATTCTGATTTGTTCAATTCCGATATAATTTACTTTGATTTAAAACGATTTGAATATGGTTTGGTGAATCTCTGATCTATGTGACTATTACAACTGCAAAATGTCAGGTTTCTCCATATCCATGACGAGAAGAGGTGTAAGTAAGTACAACCAATGGCGGAGCCACCATACTTCAAATGTGTTTAAGTGAACACCTAAAATTTTGAAAAACATATAAGTATACATATATATAGGGAAGTGAAGAGTTCAAATGAAAAGTGGTCTTCCCGTGCAAAGTGCAAAGTTTTTTATTTTTTCATGTTTCGCTTGCACTTTTTCTTGTTTGCGTTGAACTTTTTGGCCATTTTGATTTTGGCAAAATTCGGCCAAAATGGCGGTGGCAGTTTTGTAAATAAACCAATTTTTTTGAGCTACCGCGAAAAAGTGCAACTAAAACAAGAAAAAGTGCAAGCGCAACATGAAAAAGTGTAAACTTTGCATTTTGCACGTTAAGACCACTTTTTAATTGAACCATCCCCTATATATATATATATATATATATATATATATATATATATATATATTATTTATGTCATTGTTCTTTCAAGTTTTAGTTGTACAAAAAAAGGAACACCCAAAACGTAAATCATAAATCCGCCTGAGTGCAACCTCTCTTCACTACGAGCAACCAATATAACATCTTGGTCCAAAAGGTGTACTGCCCAACCCCAAGGCCTCCCCACCCTGACCCAACAAAATGGTGGGGAGGTTAATCATAGTGACTCAGTCAGCAAAGCGACGATAGGCCTTATACATGTGCGCACCAAAGGTTCAGCCTTATTTCAGGTTCTGTAACCTCCAAACGGCTGCTGCGGGTTTCAAACCTTGGTCACTTGGTCCAATTTTCCCACCACTCGACCAACTGAGCTACCCGTGCGGGTAACAACCAATATACCATCCATGTGGTTTGGAAGCTCCCCTTTGCATGGATGATGGATAGAGAGACTGGAACTGGAAGGTAGTTTTACGTTTGTCATAATTGGAAGGGAAGAAATTGTGCAGAAATAATTCGCTTTGTACGTTGGAAATATTTACTCATAGCAGATAGTGTTTTTTCAGTGAGATGTAGGCAGGGCCGTCTTTAGGACTATGGAGGCCCTAGACGAAAATATATTCAAAGAGTGTTTGTGTTTGCTTCTATTTTAGAAATGTTTTTTTAAAATGATTTTAGAAAAATGCTCAATACTAAAAGTTGATAATATTTGAAAAACAATACTAAAATGTTTTTAATGTTTTTTGAAAAATAAAAGTTAGTAGTGTTTGATTAAAATGTTTTTTGTATAATAGAAAAGGTGAAGAGCCGCTTAAAGCAATTTTCCACCTAATTCCAGTTTTTAGCTTTTAATTGTTTTAAATTCTTAATTCAAGCAGAAACCGCTCCTTGAAAACACTCATTTCAAATTTTAAATGAAAAAGGTGGAAAGTACATTTTATAAATTTTCCAAGCACTCCCTTCATATTGATATATTATATTATCATATTCATGTAATTTATAACACCAAAGCATACAAAAATAAATATCAGATAAATTTAGTAAAAACACACATTTTGAGAAATGTGATGCCCAGATTTGATTGTAGTTTTGTTATTATGAATTATGCACTTTTAAAAGTAAGAAGAATAAGACATAAAAATTATAAGTTTAGTGTGTGCGCATGTTTGCAATTTAAAAAAATTCTTTTGACCTCAAGTACGTATCAATATATATACCAATAAGGTAAAAATAGAATAATTGAATAAATTAAAATTGACCCATACCTAATTATAACTCTTAGCTTGACTAACACAATTTTAACTTATAATTTTATTTAAAATTATAGACTACGTATATACATCAAATGTATGTATGAAGTCCTTACTGTAGGTTCAGTGGTTCAATGGATTGATTTTATTTGGAAATTCAAATTTAATTTCACATATACCAAGTATAATACTTAAGGTTTTGTTTAATTTGAAGGCCCCCTAAAACTTGGTGCCCTAGACATTTGTCTAGGTCAAGTGGCCCCATGGCCGGCCCTAGATGTAGACCTGTCAATGAGTCGAGTCTAGACCCGGACTCGATCCGGACCCGGTTGTTTTTAATGGGTATGAATCTATATTTTATTCTGCTTATCCAGATCCGACTGGATCCGGACACGTTAGTGTTTTTAATAAACGGGTTGGGTATGGTACATTTGATTTTGACCCGTTAAGGACCCGGATTCGGACCTGTTAGTGTTTTTAATAAACGGATCGGGTATAGTACATTTGATTTTGATCTGTTAAGGATCCGGACCCGTTTAAAATTTCTTATTAGTATATATACACATAAAGTGATTAGTTATAATACATCAAATAAAAAAATACAAACTAATATATATATATATATATATACACACCAGGGGGCTGGGGGGGAGTAATTAGGGTTGAAACTCAATCCATTGAGTTTCAAATACTTATGTGCCTAGCAGGTTTCGAACTCGAGACCTTCCACTAGGCACGGTAACCTCACAACCAGCTGGGCTGGAATGCTTGGTTACACACACACATATGTGTGTACTAATACATAAAGGTATTAGTTGTAATTTTTCAATTGAAAAAATACACATTAATAGATACCTATTGTGTAAGTGATACCGATTGAGATAGTTAGATATCCTAAAACTAGTAAACATTTTGACCGTTTATGCATACCGATAAAGTGTGTATTAGGCTCGGTAGTCAAAACCCAATATTTATTATTATTAGGGGAGGAGAAGGTTGATGTGGGTTTATGGCCCTTTTTTCATGTTTGGGAGTTTATAAAATTGGAAGGAATGGTTTTGGAGTGCTTTTGTGACCCTCCAAAACCTTCTAAATTCTCGATTTTTGAGTTCCCCTAATTTGGAGGGTTTTGAATGATAATTAACGAAATGTAATTTAAGCTCAATTAAAAATAAATATCAGTTCAATTATTCAAATTCGTCATATTTCAAAGTGATTTTAATTATAATTCATTCAAAAACTCTCTTCTTCCAAATTTATTGCTCCCAAATACAAAGAAGGGCTTCCTTACCCTCCCTTCCTTTTCCTCTCCAACAACATACCTCCAAAGTCTTCCCCTCCTCTTCCCTCCAAACTCCCAAACATACCGTTACGGATATCTAGTTGAAAACCATGTGAAGCAAACCACAACTGTGTCGAAGTTATATTTGTTTTTCTCCTCCTAAAAAGGTTAAATCCTCAATTGCAACATCCCCACACCCCAAGCTAACAAGACATATGAGAGATTGTAAATCATGGTAACTCAGTCACCCAATGGTGATAGACCTTATACTCGTGCGCATCAAAGGTCCAACCTTACACACAGAAGTTGTAACCTCCACACCGTCGCAAAACAAACTTATAACAACTCTAGGAGGTACAACCTCATATCATTTCTGTTTGGGCTTAGCTTCTCACATGGTTTTAGTACATCTATAATAGCTTTATACGAGTACCTTTTATAAGGTTACTTCTTTATTTCTGGAGCATGTGACTTTAATGCTACAACTTCGTCCTGACTTTTCTTCTTATTATCAAGCTGATCAAATTTCTCTTATTAGGGACACATACAACTACTTATGACTACGCAAAAATCTCAACAACTTCTTCATAAGAAAACTAAATTAAATCTCAATAAATAACTTGTTTAATACTCTTCATTTTTTTTCTGTTAAGAAAATTAATTATTGCCCTAAATAAGAGTGAACAAGTTATAGAATTCCAAAATATGACAATTATGTTTTTGAAATAAGAGTTGTTATTTTCACGTTTGAAAAATAATGTCATTAGTGGCAGTAAATATTGTCATATCAATGCCTATGACTGCAACTATTTTGACAGTAATGCTCCAAGCTAAGATGGCAGTAAATACTTTCATATTACTCCTTTTCGTGAATAAAAACATTGCAATCCTATTATGTAATTTCTAAACTCATTTACTCCTATCTCACGAATTTTCCCTTTTAACACCACAAGTCTACAACTCAAAATCACAAGGTCACAACATAGCATTTATACATGAACCGGTTTGCTCTATTTATACATGTGAAGATGATGGTCAAAATGGAATATGAATAGAAGGTAAAAGAAAGAGAAGAGAGAAGGAAAGATGAAAGAAATATGAAAGAAAGAAACATGAAAGAGGGGATGAGAATTCATATGATATATATAAAGAGGAAGAAAAAGGTGAAAGAATGAGACCCTTTTATATAATGTATAGTGAGATATATACGGATATTGTAAACTGTTATGAATGTCATCAGAGGACACTCCTCAATCAAATTCGACCAAAATAACACTTTTGCACAAGAAATATTATTCGATTGAACTTTCCGTGTAATTGTATATCGGTAATATATTAATTAATTTCAAGTATGTATTGATACCAAAATACTTTGGTTCGTTACGACGCTATATCGAAGAGTAAGGTATACCAAAATTTTGATATGTTTACTTGCCCCTATTTGTCATTACATTATTTCCATTTGCATTGTTTTCCAAGGTTGCATAATCTATCCGGGATCCTTTTTTAGCTTGTTTCCTTTATACTACACTACAAAAGAACAACGATATTGACACCGATTTGACACTGATTGATCGAGTTTTGTACGAATCATTACATATTTTTGGCATGACGTGTGCCAAATACCTGGTGTCAAAACGACATTGTCACGAAATTTGACACGGATTTGACATATTTGGTGCCAAGTTTCTGCCGAAACCCTATGAATTTTGACGAATCCTTTTCAAATCCGTGACAATATCCTTGGTTTTTGTAATACTATTTATCATTTCGTGTTTTTGGCATAGCAACTCACTTTTTCTTCTCCATAGGGTGGGAAAGGACTAAAAAGCTGGGAGAGCGGCCATTGTAAAGCACCGTCCAAGTTTGAGCTAAAATCGAGTAGCAAGAAGAGTTCTTAAATCTACTCTGATTGGTGTCCAGAAGTTTCGGCTACAGAGAGAAACTCTGAAACTAGCAGTTTATGTTGTGTAAAAGATTTGTTTTCTACATGAAGGTGGTGTAAAAGATAATGTGCCAAAGGCACAAAACGGCCATCAGTCATTTAATTTATAAAACTAAAAATAAATATTACTATAGCTAAGAACTCATTTTATCAACATGAAATAGTGGTATTTAGTGTTTTTGCAACTCTTGATGAGGCAAGTCCAGGACAATTTGAAAAATAAGCCTTCAAAATACGTAGTACTCCGTAGTATTTTTATATTAATCTCAATCAGATGCATGTATTATTCACTTCTAAATTTTGTAAAAGTGCTCATTCATATCAACTTTAATACTAATCTTACCAGAATTATGATCAAGAACTTTAGTAAAGTATCATTGTGTTGAAAGATATCGAAGTGTGAAAAATATTAGAATTAGACAACTTTGTAACTCTTTGTTTTTTTCTTTAAACATAATTATACTATGTATATATATAATTATGTTATGTATACATATATAATAGCCCACATGAAGAGAAGGCCTTGAGCATAGATTTGGGGTCTCTGCCTTGCTTTAGAGCAAGGCACGGTGCCCGACTTTTGGAAACCATCCGATCAAAACTTCAACAGCCTGAGATCTCGAGGTCCACATCTCGAGGTGTCATTTTTTCAATCCTGACGGTCGCTCTACTGCACGGCGGAAGATCTCAATCCCGTGAGCACATGCCCCTTTGGTTTGAATTAACTAATTAAGATCAAGTTTGACTCGAACTCGACCGAGCTCTACTCCAGCAGGTCAAAATTCACCTGACTCAATATTTGGTCTACTTATAGCTTGGCAATAAGTCAATAACACACCCAAATTCTGCTACAATTTTCATCCTACTAGCTTGAGTTCTAATACGGATTGAGAATGCTCGGATCAAATCTGAATATTGATCAAAGCAGTCTTGATTACCCCCCACAAAGAGCTTGACTAGCTTCTCCCCTATATTGTAGTAAATCTTGGTAATATACAATTTGCAGCCAGAGGTATATTTCATATGTTAGTAAATATAAAAGATATAGTCAATGCCCATTGCCCACAGCCCTCCAACAAAATCCCTAAGACATCGCACTCTTACAATGCACCAGTATGATATATCTATCTTCAACAAGGGGTTGAAGAAAAAAATGAGAAACAACTTCTTCACCCCACCCTAAAAACTTTCTGTGATCTGAAGGCAATATTGATCAAGTCCATTTTCCTTTTTACATCAAGGAAACAAGACCATGGATATGTCATCCAGCCTCTTGTTGCTTAACTGAATCTTTGGAATCCTTGACTGCCTTGGAGCATTTGGTTCTTCCATAGTACCAACAAAGCTTTCGAAGTCGATAGTCTTTCTTGGCGTGTTATACTCAAAATGCCATTTCTTTGCTATCAATGTCTGCCCCATTACAAAAAAAATGTCATTATCACCACCATTCGACCCGTCCACAAATAAATTTGACAAAACACAACATCATTTCATGTACCTCACAACCCGAGCCAATAAGGTCCGGAAGTAATGTAATAGAGGAAATGCAAAACGGTAACGTGAAATAGAAAACGCATGAAACTGTATTTTAATAAGAATATAGAATATGGAATGTATGCAAAATAAATATTAAAAAGTATAATGATGTACTAAACTCGTAAATAATTTTTGTGCGTTTATGTGTGTGTACATTTTTTATATAGAAAAAATTTTCTTGAAGCTCATGTTGCTATAAAGAAAATGCATAAAATAACAAGTTTCACGAACAAACACCAAATTCCATTGAAAGAACTAACAGAAAAGAAAATAACTATATTGGAACTCGATCAAAGTTTCTATAACCTCATTAATAATGACAACGAATTCCCAATGCTTTGAAATAATGAAAACGGATCCGAAACGATATTTGAGTTTGCCGAGTTTCTGATATGTTTCGGGTTTTGAATTGGCGAAACATGAATGTAGTGAAGTTTATGTGCTACTCAGTGAGAAAGTCTACCCCTATATTCAATAGAGCTTACCACTTGTCGAATAGCCTTGGATACATGAAACAGGCTGATCAAATCCTCATGTTCAACACCAAATATTATCCTAATCTGCATGTTAGACAAGAAGCAGATCAAGAGAAAGCTCATGCATTTTCTTTATCAGCAACCTCATTATATGAAGAAAAAGGCAATTAAATTAAATTGCTTAAAAACTTATACTGTAGTTGTTGTGGACTGACCAGAATGTCTTCAGGCAAGGCTTCGAAAGGTGATGAAGATTTCTCTGGTAAAACCTTCCTGCAATGCTTCTTTATCTGTTTACTACAATTACTGTTAATTACATAATAATCAATCTCTAAACCACTACTTAACAACTCAATTCTTTTCCTCCCAAACGACTGCCTTCTGCTCCTCACTACCTCTAACCCCATCTCTACTTCATACTTCTTCCCCGCAGAACTGATAATTTTCATCACTTCCCAGCTTCTACGTTCCCAAGAATCTCTATTGTATTCCAAGATCTGATCTTTACACTCAACATATATCAATACTAATCAGATTATTATCTGATATCAAGAAACCCCAGAAAAATAAATCAATAAAAACCAAATCTTGGATTAATATATTGCAGAGTTTCTCTCATTCAGTGTCTCTAGTAAGCGAAAGCTTTCACTTAAGGGTGGGGATAGTTAATTGAGATTGATGAAACGGTTGTTCTCTGCAAGGAAACCATTAACTGCCTCCAAAGTCTCCTCCTTTTCTCCTCCCAAATTTCTCTTTATTTTTAGTTTGGTAATTTTTTTTAGTTCAATGAGACTAGAGATTAGCTCCAATTTGTGGGTTACGGTTATACGTAGTACATGTTGTGCTAAATTAGCTCCAATCTTGTTTTATTTTTCGATTAGAGTATTTCCGCCCACTGATTTCTTTTTGTTTTATTTATGTCGTGCATCAATTTTTTTACTACAGTTTCTTATCAAATCAATTGTTAAATAAATAAAAATTCCGGACTGCAATTTAACTTGGTCCAAAAGTTGGAATCTCCACCCCAGGAGCCTCATCCCGACCCTACATGATGGTGGAGAGGTTAATCACGGTGACTCAGTCATCAAAGCGGCGGTAGGCTTTATACACATGCGCACCATAGATCCAGCCTTATTTCAGGTTCTGTAACCTCCACACGACCTCTGCGGATTTCGAACCTTGGTCACTTAGTCCAATTTTCCCATCTCGACCAACTGAGCTACCTGTGCGGTGGATTGCAATTTAACAGTATTCTTTGAGTCATCTTTTTTAACGTAGTATTCTTTGATTCATTAAAAAACGGTATTTGATTTTTAGAGCTGTTTTACCTATGTAAATTTAAATTATTAATATAAAAACTACTAAACGTGAGTTAATTATTATATTACAATTTCTGCTAAACGAAATAATCCAAAACGAGACCCAAAAAAAGTGGGATGATGGTACTATACCAGTATACCTCAAATATCATTAAAGGTTATATGTAATGGTTATTTACTTTAACCCAAACACTTCTAAACTCAATTATTTACATAATAACCCTACTTCTGAAACATCACATTTAATTTTATCATTCATAAATAACCGAGTATAATATAAAAATTATAAAATCTAAACAGCGCTTTATTTGTCTAAAGTTGCATCTTTATGAATCAAACGGATTCGTTAATTGCAATTAACTTTCCGAAACTAATAAATCTCACGAGTTATCGGAATCTGTTAATGTCTGCAATTGAACCAAACAATATTAAAATATTGAATCTAATTAGTGTAGAGCTCTACTCATATATTGTTAATAACTTACAAATAAATTCAAATATCACATTTCACTAGAGTTGTATACTTGTATGCTAGCTTTTACGGTCGTATGCATGAATGATCTGTTCTTTTTATCGTAAAAAGAGAGAAATATATTAAATCAACAAATCGTTTGACACTTGACTTATAATAGAATCAGGCACAAAATCAAAAATATAATAGAATCAGGCATAAAATCAAAAATAACCTGGTGGTATGAGATATGAACACGTGTTGTTTCCAAAGCATGAGTCGCATGATTCGCAGACCGTTCACAAAAAGAGATACTCTCTGCGTCCCATTTTACTTAGTCAAACTTGACTTTTCAAGTCAATGACATCTAACTTTGATCGATTATATGTTTATATAGAGAAAGTATTCATAATATGAAAATGATATGAAAATGTTATTTGTTAAAAATACTATCATAAAAGTATAAAATTATTAAATTTTGCATACATATATTAGTTTAAATAATTGGTAAAAGTTTACCACCTTTGACTTGAAAAGTCAAAGATGGCTAAGTAAATTGGGACGTATGGAGTATTAAAATTACTCTTAGTCAGTAGAATACGTCGGATATCATCAATAATCAAGTGCATGTATGATGAACCATCCACGTCATTGAGTCCCTATACCACCGTGAGTGCATCTGTTTCAAATTCCACGTGCTTCCAGCCCTTATCAACTACATGCACGACAGCATCACGAAGCCCCAAAGCCTATGTCTCCTCCGTCGTCCACCCAGCATTGCAAGAGTACCCCTTCGCCTCGACAAAGGACCCCTCCTCGTCCATAACCAACCAGCCCCAAGCACGCACACCGCCCATCTGATTGACTGCCGCATCCACATTAACTTTTAGAAAATCCTCCTTGGGCCGGTGCCATTTTTGAACGTTGAGGGTATCTTTTGCTAGCTTCCGACTGCTATAATCTTGCGCCTCCCTCCAGCTCGACACCATGCTGGCTGCCGTATTCAAGACCCCTGCCAGATCATGTTGTTGTTCCTTCCAAACCATAGCATTTCTCCTTTTCCCAAGTTTCCAAACAATAGCAATGAACCGCCCCCGTGCTTCCTTGTCCGACTGAGCTAAGTTAGTCCAAAGCCACTCTGATTACACCATTGAACAATAAATATTACACCTCAACTTCTCATCCATGGATGTAGCACCATTCCAGACAAGGTCCGCGCGATGCGCGTAACGTGGCATCATCGGTACAGACCGATCAACCGGATCCATAAGTGGTATTTGTGCAGTCATTCGTATCTCAACTAACAATGAGAATCACATATTAGTGTTATATATATGTGTGTATGTATATTATAATGACGTATTTTATTAAATGAAATTATAAATTACACATAAACTTTCAATGAAATTATTATATCAGTGTTATGTATTACATTATAATATATGTACGATTGATATTGGGCTTATCCACTAAACAATATTACCACCGTGCCAGAAACTAGAAAAGGACGAGTTCTAGACGAGCTTGTGAAAACCGTACCAGTATAGTGCAAATAAAATATATGTACCGATACAAATTTTAGACTTACCACTGAGTAATATTCTCACTGTGTCAGAAACTAGAAAAGGACTAGTTCTAGACGAGCTTGTGAAAATCGTACCAGTATAGTGCAATTATAATATATGTATTGATACAAATTTTAGATTTGCCACTGATTAATATTCTCACTGTGCCGGAAACTAGAAAAGGACTAGTTCTAGACATAACGTTTGTCAGAAATTAAAAAAGGATTAGTTCTAGACGAGCTTGTGAAAATCGTACTCCTCCTCCTCCCTCCTCCTCCTCCTCCTCCTTCTCCCTCTTCTTCTTCTTCTTCTTCTTCTTCTTCTCCTTCTTCTCCTTCTTCTCCTTCTTCTTCTTCTTCTTCGTCTTCTTCTTCTTCTTCTTCTTCTTCTTCTTCTTCTTCTGCTGCTGCTGTTGCTGGGCTAGAGGACAGGCTCATGCCCGGGCTGGAAGGCAGGCTCCTCACTAGGGTAGACGACAGGCTCCCTGCTTGGCTGTAGGCAGGTTGTTGGTCGGGCGGCAAGGCAGGCTCCTAGCTGGGTTGGAGGCAGGCTGCTGACCGGGCTGGAAGGCAGGCCGTCTTGGGCTTCCGCTCCTTGATGGGCCTGATCGGTTGGGCCGACTCGAGCTCTGGGTCACTTGGCCTGGGCTTGCTGGTCCAAGTTTGGGGCCTGGGCCGATTAGGCTCTGGGCCTAGTCCTGTAACCCCATCACGAGTCCCCCACTCCCTTAGTCGAGTAGTAGACTCGGCTAAGAGGGAGTAGTTCAAGTCAGCTGCCAATTAAAAAATATTCGCATACCAAGGAGTCGTAACTACAGATTCTGTCAATCCCACAATTTTATAGAGATTTCCATTTTTTTAAAGGCCCCAAATTAATTCAATCAGCATTCTAGCATTCTAGCACCCAACTTTCTCCCATACTTCAAATCCGCATCAGCTTCCAAAAATTCCTGAAATTCATTATTACAATTTTATAAATTATTTTCGGAATTTATTTTATCTTTCCTTTTTTTCTTTTCTTTCCTTTCCTTTTCTTTCCTTTTCTTTTCTTTCCTTTCTTTTCTTTTTCCTCTCTCTCCTGGAAACGTGTGCCTGCTTTCCGTCGACCCAACGCCGTAGTCAGCCACCGGTTTGACCGACGCCCTACAGGTTGGGTCTTCCACCTCGTGGATTCAAGTCAGCCGGCGGTTGTCCTGTGCGGCTCGTCGGTGTCCCTGAGGTCTGGCAGCTGTCTTCCCCAACGGTCGGCTTCATTTTTGGAGCTCTGCAGATCCGACTGGTGGATCAGCGCCGCTTGAAGGAGTTGGAGGTCGACAGACGAACTCGAGCAAGACCTTGGCCGGAGAGGTTGATGTAAATCCTCCAGCCGGCCGTGCAGCGGTGCAGCCTTCCAGATCGGCTGAACTATTTCAAGGTCGTGGCAGCTTCTGGGCTCCAGGCGGAGGCGGATTCTGGGCGGTGACGCCATCCAGCGAGGCGGCTTCCTAATAGGACGGACTGCTTCCAGGCCGACTCAATGGCTCTGAGTGGTTCAGGTAGTAGGGAGGTTCGCATTGCATTCCCAAGGTGAGGGACAGATTCCCCAATTGACGCCTCCAGGCAGCCGGCTGGCTGCTTCCCAGTCAACGGTGGCGGCTTCCAAGCTATGACGGCTCCAGGCAATGGCGGCGGATTGCAAGTGGTGATACTTCAGGTCCGGTCGAACACCTCCTGCCACCCGTATCCCTTTGGGTTGTCCGCTGCATAGTCTTGAATCGGATGGCTCTGTCATACTCGGCGTCTCACCTAGGACATAGCACAGAGACAACCTCCCATGTTGGTAGTGTGCAATCTGCCGGCAGATATGTAATTGGGTGACGTTAGTGGCTGTGCCTCTATGGTTGTTGCTGGTTCGTTTCTTTCCTGAATTCCTGAGACAAGATTTCTTTTGTTTAAAGGGTATGTTCATGACTTTGGAGGCATTCCAAGCTTTGATTATGTCTGGGGCAAAGTTCTCTCACGAGCCTGACAAGGTGAAGGACGTTGAGACATGCAATGAGACACTTGCATAGTTCCATGCCTCCGCTAGGTTTTCCCACGTGCTTGGAGAATCATCATGGTGAGAAAGATATGGCTCCATTAAACTTGGTGACCACCCAACGGTACGAGAACAACCATGGACAGGATGGCACTGGAGTCCGGATTCCAAGAGAGCTGTTTGAGGTTCCAAGCAAATCCCATGATTAGACCATTGTACATGATGGTGTCGGGTCTGCTTAGCCATGACCTTGTATATTTTTTTTTGTAGTTTGCAGCTCGCCTATGTGAACTTTGATTCAACATTAAATCCTGAATCATACGTTTCTTTTTCTATACTTTGCTTTCTTTTTTTTCTTTCCTGGACTTCCTGCATGCGTGCGTGCATCCTGCCCTAGGCGGCCAGGTGGCTGGGTGCCCCCCGGG